AGTTTTTGCATTTTTGAATTATTAAGGGAACCATCGCTTGTAGATCTTATAATATAAAAGTAAGCATCATCTCATATATGTTCTAATATCAGTTTATTTTGAAGACCATTATAATTGTTGTAATGTGGTTGACAGAAGAAACAAGAGACAGACACCACTTCAAGTTGAGACCTGCAGTTAGAGACTTAACAACAATAATGTACAATAATGATGCTGTTAGTATGGGGATGCTACAACTTCTTAACTTGGCAGGTGAAAGTTAAGTATGTATGGCAATTGAATTCTTACTAAAAAATGCTTTCATTGGATATTTTTGTTCATCTCATTCTTCATAATATAACCTGATGTATGTCTCCATCTCCCTGAGGATCATTCAAGTGTTTTGTTCATGTACACTGAAAACTATAAGGACTGGTTGTTTCTTACAATTAATAAAAGGATGACCGTCTGTATTGCCCTTTCTAATTAGTAGACAGATGTTCCGATTCATGACCAACTTACTGTGATCCAAAAACTCAGTGAGTTTGTAATTCGCCCATGCATGCACAACAAGGCTAGACCAAAGACCACGTGCTTCTCACATTAATAGGTTAGTGTATATATATACACACACATACACATATGCATATATGTATATATACATATATACATATATATATTTGAAATTCACTCCTGTGCATGCACAACGCTTGACCAAAGACCATGTGCTTCTCACAATAATAGGTTAGTGTATGTGTGTGTATATATATATATGTAACACATACATATATACATATACACATATGTACATATATACATATATGTATTTGAAATTCACTCCTGTGCATGTACAAGGCTAGACCAAAGACCATGTGCTTCTCACATTAACCCATTGCCTCCAGGGAAAAGGAACAAAAAATGGGGAAAAAGCTGTACCCATTTTTTATATTTTTGTGAAATATCTCTGTACATAGATGGCTCTGCTAGTCCTGATTTCACCTTTCCTTGAATTGGCGGGAAAAAACGTATTCTTACTAGTGCTCTAAATATAGATGGTGTTATTTTTAACAGCAAATTAGGATAACGTTAAATATTTTCGTAAATTGATGAAAAGGGTGAACGGGCGAGACAGGCAGTATTCGTAATTGGCTCACTGGTGACTTTGTACAAGTGTAGCCATCTATGTGTAAAAACAATCAAACAAATCGACTCACAGTGGGCATGGCATGTGCATCCCTGGCGGCAATGGGTTAACCCATTGCCGATGAGAAAAATGAATAAAAAGTGGGGAAAATGCTGCGCTCATTTTTTATATTTTTTTTTTGTGAAATGTCTGTACACATAGATGGCTCTCCCTTACCTGATTTCACCTTACCTTGAATTGGCGGGAAAATATATTTTTTACTAGTGCTATGAATATCAATGGTGTTATTTTTATTAAGTAAACATTATATTTACTATAATGTTATAAACATTATAGTAAAATATTTTCGAAAATTATAGAAAAGGGTGAATGGGCGAGACAGACAGTACTCGTAATTGGCTCATTGGTGATTTAGTACAAATGTAGTCATCTGTGTGTAAAAACAATCAAATATGTAATCTCACAGTGGGCATGGTATGGCATGCCCGTTGGCAATGGGTGATGGAAGATTGTCAAAAGTAAACCTACAAGATAGGTTTAGACATTTTAAGGTTGGTTGTATATGAATCCTACATCATCACACCTGATATATTCTGCAGCTCTAAACATACCCAAAAACTTTTCTCTTAAGGCCATTCATGTGGTGAGTACCAGTTCAGTGTATTA